TGACAGTAGATTTCATTGGAGATCCTTGAAACAAACAAATTATTTCTATTGATATGTCCTCATTGTTGCACTACTAATATGTAGCCATTTTTGAAATACCCTAAAATCCCATAGATAAGAGCGGTCCATAGATATTTTTTCAAAAATAAAATAAAAATAAAAATATTTTTTCAAAATCATTTTTTACCGGTAAATTAAACCGCTCTTATCTATGGAATTTTACTGATCGAATGGGCTCTTCAAGTTCTATCCAGAGATCAAATTCCGGCATTTCTAGAGAGATTCCGGCAGAAATTCCGTTAAAATCGCTATTTTTCTATATGAATTGTTTATTAAGTGGGCGGGGTTTAGAGTTGAGGGGCGGAGCTTCTTCTAAACTTCTTCTCCGATTTTTATTTATCCATCCATCAAGTTAGAGGGGTGACTGCATTCAATTTCAATTTCATTCCAATTCATTTTTCACCGGTAAATTAAACCGCTCTTATCTATGGGATTTTAGGGTACTAAAAATCCTAGCTGAGTATACATCGTATGCTATACGAAGTTATTTTTAGAGCAGCAACAGTCGAAATTGATTTCGCATGAGCCTTAAACTAGGAAGATTATAGAAATAGGAAAAGGTGGCGAATCACGATGACATCACTTGTAAGAGTGATATGAAAAGACTGACGTTTTCGAGGACCTGTCAAGGGATTTTGCGTAAGTATTTTTTCTCGAGAATCGGTCTCAAATAGCGATTGTTCACGAGCAGAAAATTTGGCTCCGAATTAGTTGGATATGGGGTGGGGTAGGTAGAAGTCACTGCGCGACGTCGCGAATATTCGATCTAACCGCCCAACGCACGAGCTGTTCGCTAAGTTTGAAACTGCTGGAGCGCAAACTGTAGAGCAGATTGTGTACAACATATTACCTGTGAGGGGAGGAAACGGCGTAAAAGTTTCTAACTTGAACAGTCCGCCGCATCCGGCGCAACAACATTGTGGCGCGACGTCGCGGCATGACTTCTCACTACACAACTGAATAATAACAGCCATCAATAACTAGTTTCAAGGCGGCTACTACAAAATATTGTATATAAAGGGGCCTGGAAATTTATCTATTGAAGGGGCCTGGAATGATTCAATAAATACAAAATAAGTGCAGATAATTCATTAATTGAATGAATTCACTATATACAAACAAAGAATAAATTAGCGAAAACACTTCGCGATATAGAATATGAAAACGAGAAAAACTAGCGAGACGACAAGAGTTACTTGTTCAAAGCTACCGTAACTGTCATACTGTAGATTTGCGAGATTCACATTACACGGATACGATCAGTATCGGGGAATTTGCTAGCCATGTGATCGATGCGGTTTCAGCTCGATCTCGGGGCTGATCTTGTTCTTCTTTAGCGGTTCATCGTTCGACGTGTCCTTGATCGGTTCCACGTGACGGACACTAAACATGATATACAGTAATCACATCCCGTACAGTATACACTTTGTATTCGCAGCCACGTGCTTGTCCACTGCGGACTTCACAACACAATAAATCACGCGTCCACAAGTGAAACTGTTTTCTACCAATGAATGATTAGCCGGTTGCATTTTTAATTCTCGCTAATTGCGACTATCATATCGACTGTGAGCTACCACTGCAACCTACTAATTATCAGGTTACTTGGATGCTGTCGTCACTCGTGTTGCGAAGCCCTCTGTAATCAGAATCTCCTTGGTCGGAGGATACGAAGGGCATTTTTAGCAAGTAACTAATTCTATTGCAGGGTGTTCTCGAAAATAGGTTGTGGAGGGAGCCGAGAACTAGGTTAATTGACTAGTAGCATGATTCAGTTAGAATGGTCGTATTTTGCTGCATTATAACCCTTACCCAAGTGTCATACCACAAATAGTAATATAAAAACTTCTACATAGAAAGAGGTAGATCTGCGAATGAAAAAATGGCACGTATTATCACCCTCTAAGCGTTTGTTTATTTAGGAAAAATAATACCGTGTCTTTCACTAGTTGAATTGGTTTCCATCTATCCTCTGGAATGACGCTAAGACGTTTGGCAGTAGGACGCCTAGAGTTGTCTTGGCAGCAAGTACGGATTGTTTACAACGTTTCAAGATGTCTGTTGTCGCTGGAGACAATGTAAACATTGTCAGGCTCCGTTCAGCTTCTCCCCACCAAAAGACAGCTTAGCCTCAAATAAAAGCCTTTAGAATGCTACACTTTTTCTATTAGGTCGATGCGCAATCCTCTTGGCGTATTTCGATTTTTTATCTGATTTATTCCCTTATTTGTTTATTTTTTCTTCAATATACTTATTCAAATTTGTATGACTGCTATCAGCAACATATATGTCGCCGCATCGGTGTTCAACGCCTCTTCATTAACCCATTCGTGACAATGTCAGCCACCGGTGGCTGACAAAGCTCTCACTCGGGACAATGGTATTACTGTGGCTGCAGGGCTTGAAATGGAATTTGGAAAGTTTTCTTCCATGAAAAGAATCTTCATACCCTCGCTCATCTACGCCAGCCCTGGGCAGAGGAAATCTCCCTCCACTCGGAATTTTATTGAAGAAAAATCTCCTGACGCTGCTGCTATTGCGCAATCCTGCGCGGTCGCGAATGGGTTAAATTATGGTCAAAGATGTACTGGATTTTGATTTTGATAACATGATGTTTACGTAAGGTGTCTTTCCATGGAAATGGACCGGAGAGAACAGCAGGTGGACATCCACTAGCACGAGGTCACGGCTAAAAGGGGATGAGGAGGAACTGGCCGTCAAAGAGTCTTCAAGTATTCCTGAACCTTCTTCGCAAGCAGGTTGAATAGTGTCACAAAAAAATGATTTTTTTTTCTTGTTTCCTTCTAAAGTTGAAAGCGTTGTGATAAATTTGAGGGCTCAGGTTGACGTCTTCATTCACTGTGCCATCTGCACGTAGTAGTTTCCAGTGATCAGCTCCTCTCCTATCACACCGGAAATTCAAGAGGACCTGATTTGGGCGAAGTGAAACCTCAACAGTCAGAACTACCAAGCCGTTTGAATAGACTACCGCCGCTTGTGGCATAGTTAAAGGAATCTTAGGCCGATGTCAGACTTTGCGAATCGCGCGATTCGCTAGCGTCCGCGGTCGCGTTGCGGTACCAGCCAATTGAGTGATTCACTGGCCGCGACGCGACCGCAGACGCTAGCGAATCGCGCGATTCGCAAAGTCTGACATCGGCCTTCACGGAAAGAGTGATCATTTTGTCTTGTGTGTAGGATTAGTATTATCGAAACTAACGCTTATGTTCCGTTCTTTTTGCTATGCTCATGAGGCTAGGGGCCTAAGGGGTATCGTTTTTCTGTGGTAATGGAGGCGGAGCTTTTTCCGCGGAAGATTCCTTTAACACTCTGCACCTACCTACTTCTCATTGCCGGCAGACATGGGAAGCCAACGGGAACATGACGGTATCAGATCGTGTCTGAACTTAATTTGGGCTCAGGGCATTTGAGCTCGAAGCTCCAAATTTCGTAGTCCTTACGAGTCTATGAAGGTTCACCATCAGTGCCGTCACCTTGTCGCAACGAATTGTTCTGCCAGAAAAAATCGATAGCCTATCCAGGTGTATTTTCAACGGCGTCGAGTCAGGGTCAACCGTCACGTTGGACCAATTTCGAAAATTTTACGACCCCCCCCCCCCTTCTAGAGGGCCTCGATACGACCCCCCTCAGGGTTAACCCTCACGACCATCCTCCACCACCCTCGCCTGCCATCGCCATCATGGGGCGATTCTATAGTATTTGATTCTGAGACCAGTCGACACAGCCCAACTCCGCCCACTTTTCCCTCCAAAATTGCCGTCGAGCGGAGGAAGGACCCTTTTCGCACTCAAAATCCCAGCCAACAACCTAATACGCTCTCCGTTCCATAAAAAATCATCCCCTCCCGTACTGTAACATTGACGCTACCTCGCGAAATACGACCCTCCCCCACCTCCTTCCTGGACAAAGTTCAACGGACGGTTGACCCTGCGTCGAGTAGAGAGCACTGAGGTTGTCGGCCAGGATGGTTGGATTGAGGATCACCTTAAAATAAAAAAGCTAACCATGAGTGGAGTGAGCTCCCCGTGCACCGTAGATAGAAGGATCGCGCCCTCGTGTATCTGGTCGTTGGCCCTCTAAACGCCTGGCGTTTAAAAGACCCTACAACTGTCATGAAAAAATAGAGGCTCTCGAGATTCTGAAGAAGGTGGAGTCTTAGCCAAAGCGCCATGCAAATGAGCTGGCCGCCTCTTCGGGTAGGTAAGCTTGTACGCCCAGGTGCCAAGTCATGTTGCAGAACTTCAATGACTTTCAAAGGAATTTTATAGCAATAAATGAAAAGCGGTCCAAAAATGCACCAAGTAATATTTTTGAAAGGTTGGATTGAAGATGATGGAAAAGAAGAAGGAAATTCTGTTTGAAGGAACTTGGATGCAGCATCCGCCCTTCAGAAGCAGGCTAATGAACTCGAGTGTCGCGTTTCTGCTTCCGAGCCTGAAAAGCGAGCAAGGTTAAAAAACTGACGAGAGTTCTGTACATGCAGTTTTAGTACATCTCCAATATTTCGTTAGGTTGTAGCAAGAACTTCTATCGAATTTAGCACAAGTGTCCACAATCGACTTCGAGCCGAGTTAGGGCCGGCCAAGAAAGCCGATGCTTATTTGTATTTTTCAGTCAATTTATCGATCTACGAACCGAAGATAAATTCAATAAAATAAATGAATGAAATAAGATTTGTGGTGAATGAGTATGTACTTAGAAAATAAATGAATAAAGGACTTTCATCACCCTGTTTTGGCGTTCAAAGGCTGCCCAGATAAAAAAATAAACTTTATTCTTAGGTTTCATTCACGAGTCTCTAAAAAATGTGCGAAACGACTTTGGAAAGCCCTGATAAACCCATCTATGTGAAGAGTCGTATCATTTGCAATTGAGAACATCTTCTAAGTGCTGTGCGTGAATTCTATTCAAAACCGTAATCTGGTTAGAGACAATTTTCGAGAGCGCGAAAACATACGCTCTGGTTCCGAAATTCAGGTGCTCGTCGAGTGCAGACCACACACACAAGTGACGACGGCCTCCACAAAATGTTTTTCTGCCAATGAAATGATTAGCCTGTTGCAGTTGTATTCTATCAGTTGTCACTAATTACAACTATCATTTACCAACTATCAGCTATCACTATGAACCACTAGTTACCAGATTTACTTGGCGTCGTCACTTGTGGTGTGTGGTCTGCACTCGACGCGCACCTCGTTCTCGAAAGCAATGGGAAGCGAAGCCAAATGGTTTTGTTATCACAGGCATAGTCTGATGACCAGATTTGTGATTGGAACACTCCTAATACAACGTAGAAGTGACCGAGTGAATGTGTCCTGCTCAACACCGTGGGTGGTCCGAAGATTGGCTCGATTAACCATGTTGATTGGGGAATAATAATAGCGAACGATTAGGTGCCATTGTCTCCTGACGAGGTAATGCTTGCGAAATGAGATGGGCTTGAGAACTTACCTGAACTCAGGGACGCTTTGGAAATTTATCATAGCAGTACGGTGTGATGTAAAAATAAAAACATCAGGTGATTAGAACGAGCGAATTTACTCGAAGAGAATGTTGCTACATCTTACAGAACATACAGGAGGCCAAGAAAAGAGTCACTTTCCTCATGGCTCAAATCAGCAAACTTCGTCGCACAGGGTCAAGCCGTTGATGAAAATTTTATGGCAGAATATTCCGCTGTCCCTCCATAAGCAGAAGCAGGCCCTCCTTCACTGCCCTCACCGTCTTCAGAATATGACGTCATCTGCCATCGTCCGTCGAGCTTGAACAGGCCTACCGTACTCGCTCCATTCCGAAGCAGCTGCAAAATTTCTTTAATCGGAATACTAATTCAGTGAGTTCAGTGAGTTTGCAAAGACGTTGTTCCAAGGCAGCGCAAAGGGATGAGCATGTGCCCCTCCGAAGAATCGATCGATACGAGCGGTTTCATCCCTTTCAAGGCTCTCTGTCAATCTAGAGAAAAATGACTTTGTACATTGCAATTTAATACAAGAGTGTCTGGAGCTAAACTCGAACGCAGAGACGCAACTTCATATTCAGGTTCCCCTGACACTAATCACGATCACAGTACCTAGCAACAAGGGAGGTCTTTCAGGACATGAAGCGCTTTTTCGAAATGGTTTTCTGCATGTTGTAGGGGCTCATGCGAGGAACACAGAACCATGATCCATTTTTCCTGAACGCCTCCAGGAATGTCAAAACAGTGGTGAAGAAATGGTCCAGAGTTCGATCCCGGTGATGACTAATTTTTGCAATACAGTTTGGCGCCTCCATGTTGCCACCAGGGCGGTATTCAATCCTTCCCCCAGGGGGATATATCCCCCTACTCTGATTCAATCCTCTGGGGGGACAAAAAAGGGTTGCGTCATAGGACCTAGCATACCTCTGTGTTTCTACCTGCCAGACAGTTAGAGCAGCGCGACCCCTCAGGGAAAGAGTGCTTCATCAGTGGAGGGTAGTCGCGCTGCTCTAACTGTCTGGCAGGTAGAAACACAGAGGTATGCTAGGTCCTATGACGCAACCCTTTTTTGTCCCCCAGAGGATTGGGATATATCCCCCTGGGGGAAGGATTGAATACCGCCCCAGGTGGTACCATTGTCGAATCAGGGGCCGGGTGCAGCAAGCCCCAACGAGGGGATGGGTCCCCAAAGTTCTGTGTCTCCACTCTGTCGATGACGCAACTCTCGTGGTTAAGAATAGGGGAAGAGTCCAGAGATGCAGAGTTTAGGGGACCCATCCCCTCGTTGGGGCTTGCTGCACCCGGCCCCAGATGTCATTGTCGTGTTCTGCGGCAATTTGGAGGCGCCAACATAAATTGCAAAAATTTGTCATCACGGAGGATCGAACTTTGGACCATTTCTTCCCCGCTGTTTTGACATTCCTGGAGCGTTCAGGAAAAATGGACCATGGTTCTGTGTTCCTCACATGAGCCTCTACAACATTCAGAAAACCATTTTGAAAAAAAAACGCTCCATGTCCTGAAAGACCCCCCCCCCTGCAAGCTCACAGTGGGATCCTTCACTGGAACCTTGACATTGAACCCCCTAAATAAAATTTTGGCAAAAGTACATAAACAATATTGAGATCCAAAAACAACTTTTGGTTTTACAAACTGAATGACTCAATTATATACAAAATCAATAATTTTATTATTATTAAATTTCAGGTTTAAATGGCTTGCACTGGGTTTACAATTTTTGTAAAAAGTTTGATAATCTAAGATTCTTCTCGAAAAAGCTAGTTATCCACACTTTCATAATTCTTTGTACAGGTAATCCCTTCGGTTAATCCTCGACATACATGATGGGAGAAGCCAGCGTTGGTCGGCATCGCGGATCAATAATCCAGCTACAAATGTGACAGTATATGAAAGGCAACCCCCCCCCCCTCCCACAGATGATCAACTCTAAGATGAAGAACAGAACATAAACAGAAATAAAGAACATAGATTCCTGACCAGAAACTTTACGCTTACCGTAAGTCAGTTCCTCTAGAATTGTGAGTTCCTCAGTTGCTGGGTTATTGCATGAATCTTGACCAAGAGATTTCAGCCTAAAATTGAACTTCGTACTTGGGTTTTAGCGCTGCATATGATCTAGCTATGACGACTGGAGATCCTTGATCCTTTTACTTGCTTGAATATTCGTTGCTAAATGAGTTGCGGGAGAGGGGGGGGGGACCACGAGGCGATGCAGCGTCCGTCAAGTGAAATGACACTAAACATAAGCCTAGCAAGGACGCTCAAAAGTGCCAAAAGTTGATTTTACGAAATCACAAATCACACGGTCAATGGCCTACCCACGACTTCCTAGCTTGAGGCCATCGCGTTTGAGAAACCGTGCTGCTGCGTGCTCGCTCCCGAACCTCCCATCGCCCCCCCCCCCAACACACTTAGCACCAAACATTCGTAGTGCGAGTTCCTTTCAAGTACTGTGCTACTCCATTCTACTGAAACCTCTTCACTGACAGTGCAGCATCCAGCATCCACGAGCAGCTGATACACCACCGGGCACTGTGTTGCATGCAAACCACCGCGCGCGGGAAGATTTTCAAGCTGCAGGACCCTGCAGCGTTTGTCCGCGCCAGGGTCAACCGTCCGTTGGACAAAGTCCAACGAGGGGGTGGGGGTCGTATTTGGGGGTGGAAAAGAGGGGGGTCGTATTTCGCGAGGTAGCGTTAATGTTACAGTAAGGGATGATTTTTTGATGGAACGGAGAGCGGATTAGGTTGTAGGCTGGCGTGAAAATTTTGCTGTTTCACATTCGATATATACCCCTCCCGCTCGACGGCAATTTTGGAGGGAAAAGTGGGCGGAGTTGGGCTGTGTCGACTGGTCTCAGAATCAAATACTATAGAATCGCCCCCATGATGGCGATGGCAGGCGAGGGTGGTGGAGGATGGTCGTGAAGGGTTGACCCTGAGGGGGGGGGGGTCGTATCGAGGCCCTCTAGAAGGGGGAGGGGGTCGTAAAATTTTCGAAATTGGTCCAACGTGACGGTTGACCCTGGTCCGCGATTCATGCAAGTGGATAGGTCAGTTGACAACAGTCCGTTTGAACTTTCAAAAGGTAGGGGATAGTGTCAGCGTTGGGGGAGGAAGACGTATTTGGGGCTGTCCAAGGTTACCCATCTTTTGGAAAAAGCCGAACGCGCGGTCGCATTCGTGAAATGAAGGAGCCGTGGTTGTGGGTAGAGAGGGTCGTATAGCGGACCCCTTCTGGAGCTGATGCTGGCGGGGGTCGTAAAATTTTTGAAGTACGATCACGATGATTGGCCATGTTTGGGTTCCCACTCTATCGGTGTGCAAGATCATGCCCATTCGAAGACTTCATTATGAAAGGAACAAATGGTTCCAAAATGAGCATCATTCGGTGGTCTGAATCATGGATCACCTCTTTACGTAAGATTTGAATTCAGTGGGAAAAGTTGGGGGGCTAAGTTGGCGTCGCCCTCTGCGCCCGAGGCTCGGAAGAAAACTGACGGCGACTTTCTAATGGTAAGACTTATTATCGATCCATTCGCAAGGGGCGGAGCATTGGGGGTTGATTGACCCTTTTAGAATGCACGAATTCAGAATAGTAGTGACATTTCGAATGCGGTTCGGCCTTTATTATGGCCTTGAAGGCCTGTCGAAGTGCCAATCGCTCTTTTCCTGCCAAAGAAATTTGGTACCAATTAGCCGACCTCAAGTAATGGAAGCCTTGGCCAGCCTGATCAACGTACAAGATGCAGGATTCCATCCCTGGACCCTACTAAGAGTGGTGAACGGCGCCATTTTCCACTAAACTACTTCTGCCTGCTTCCATGGCTGTAAATCCCAGTAACATTTCATAAACAAGTTGCAAAATCACTCTGAATAGTTCAGGGGAGAAAACAGCTCACCAGCAGCGCGGTCTCGAAAACGTGCCGGTACGTCACGGCGGATCGCCTTCTGCGAGAGGACAAGCACGGCAAGCTCCCCTCCTGCCACTTCGTCGGATAGAAAGAGGTTGATGCTACCAATCAGCGGTCACATATAGATAATATCTCCGGGCTATGAAATCAGAAATCCTTTTTGAAAGTACGAAAATAACGCCTTCATTTGTAAACCCTTAGATTACGCAATTAACTCATTGTAGCCCGCGTGCATCACCGGGTATGCAGCTCGATATTAAGCTCTCCTCAAACCTTTTTTCATTACTTCTGTAACTATGAAGTTCCACTAGTGCCTTGAATCCACTAAACACCTCTATCTTCAATTTCAATAAACTTTTGGAACTTCAATTTGCACAACCAGTGCCTCAGTTTGAACCCTCATAAACTGTTTAACAATAAACTCAATGGCTACTAATTACTGAATATATTTTCTGATGAGAAGCCGAGCAAAAAATAGCAAGAAGCGAAAAAAAAACGAGAAAAAGTAGAACAAAGAAAGGACAAAAGCAATACGTTGCCAGCGCAATGAAACAACAACGAACTACATACATGTGGGTCCCGTAGCAAAAATTCCAGAAAATGTCGCAATGTGATATGTGCATCGCCGGGTGTGCACGGAGGTGATGAGCTATCACATGTGTCACATGTGCCGAAATCAGTCGGGCGTTTTGACTTCCATTCCTACTCACTACCCCCTACTTCACGGTGGAGTTAGAGTGCTATAAATATGTAATGCATTCTATCAGTGGTAGTGCTTTCCCATTCCAGTTTCCTTGGCGCCGTTGTGACGTCACCAGTACGCGCCGCATCAGCGTCACCGGTGAGCTTTCCTTGGCGCCGAAGAAGTCCTCCTGTCACCTTCCACATATCTCGTTCGAACACTCCCGTGTCGATAAAATAACTGAAGAGAGAGTGTACGCCTTCTTCGCTGGTCTGAGAATACTCCTCTCCCAACATCGCACGATCATCCTGTCTTTTACATCTTTTTACACTTATGTGTTTGACACTTTGCGGTTAGCTAAAGTTTTAGCCTATGATTTCTCAGGCTTTTGCCTACATTATAGGGCTGCGGTGGTGAGTCGCGTGGCTTGCGCACGGTCAGTGGATTAAGCCTCCATTCGAGTCTTGCCCAGCCATCCAAGCCAGCTGTCCCTCCGTACCTGACGAATCGACGCCTGGTTCGTTTGAAGAAAAAATACCAAATTGCTAGCACAAATATAAGCTTAATAATTGGCAAATGTCACTGCG